CCCTCCAGCCAAGCAGGTGGCATTGGGGTGACCCGGTCACCAGCCCTCAGCTTCCCCCCATCATGGTGACCGTGTTGTTACTCACATTGCTGCTGTCATAGACTATGCTGCCAGGCAGCCCGGGGGGGCCTGGGGGACCTGGGGGTCCCGGGGGACCCTGTGGGGGGAAAGAAGATGCGTCAGGGTCCTGCAAAGTGGACAGTCCCTGGAGGGGGGGGACACCGGGACCATGCCCTGCCCCAGAGGGGCAACCAGTCCCTGAGAGAGGGAGGCATGTGCCCTTTGCCAAAGGGATTCAGGTCCCCAGGGAGACCCTCGGTGTGTGTGTCCCCATCTGCTAGGCCAGCAGCCAGGGGAGACTGCGGCAACACTCACCCGCAAGCCCAGCACACTACTGACATCCGCGGGGTCACCCTTCTCGCCCTTCAGCCCGTTCATGCCGGGACGTCCCTGTGGATGAGCAGCATAGATGAGCCTTGTCCCTGTCCCCCCACCAGCTCTGGGGTGACACCCCAGCATCACCGCTGGCACCCCGGCATCACCCCACCCCTTGGCACTGCAGGGACATGATGGGGTTTGGGGTTCAGTGGGTGCAAGACGTGCAAACAGGGTGGGGGGATGCGGTGGAGGAGGCGATGGCTGAGGGGACAAACAAACCGGGAGTGGGTCTTACGGGTCTGCCCGGAAAGCCGATCTCTCCCTTCATCCCTGCTCGTCCCTGGGGACCCTGGAGGGGAGAGAAGATGAGGATGGGGGTGCTCCGAGCAGGGGCACCCCCTATCCCCCTCTGTCCTGGATCAGTCCCATCTCTCCTTGTGGGATATGAGGAGGACGGCGATGGTGACTTACCGAAGGTCCCATCGGTCCCCGCAGCCCCGGCTCCCCCTGCGGACAGCGGAGAGGGAAAGAACATCACCACCGGGACCACCTGGCACCCATTGCACAGGGACATGCCCCTCATTCCCGCGGCACACCCACCTTTTCTCCTTTCACCTTTGCAGTGACCATGGTCCCATCAGGGCTGATGATGACGCCAGGCTCCCCCTTCTCCCCCTGCAAGAGAGGAGGAGGCGCGAGGGGAGACGGAGGGACCAGGCTCCCTCCCATGGCGGGGCTGGCATCACCACCGGGACCTGGTGGCCAGGCAGGATGGGGCACCAGGAGCGTGACCACCCCATGGAGTGGAGCTGGCCCGGAGCAGTTACCTTCAACCCCGGGGAGCCCTGGGGACCAGACGACCCCCGGTCTCCTTTCGGTCCCACTGGGCCCTGCAGGGAGGAGCACAGAGCCCGTGTCAGCCCCGACCCACCAAAGGCAGACCCTGATGACCACCCTGGCATCGCTGCAGCAGGACCAGCAACCAGAGGTTTCACCAAAGCATGCCCAGAGATTTCATTCTCACTCCCCCCTCTGGTGCCCAGGCACTGCCCCATGCCCTACTGTGGGCACCAGTGCCACCCCTGTGATCCCCAGCCCCACCACCAACTCACCGGGAAGCCAGCGTGACCCTGTCTGCCCTGCAGAGAGAAGCAGAGATGCTTGTGTGAGCAAACCCCCTCTTTCGAAGAAACTGGGTGCCCTCCTGGCACTGCCAGGGAGGTTGTGGGTTGCAGGGGAGCACCTACCTCTGGACCGGGCAAAGCCGCCAAAGACTTCTGGGAAAAGAGACAAAACAGGTGTTTCACCCTGATCTTTGCTCTGAAGAGGTCAGAGCTCCTGGAGAAGTTGGACAGACCCCTTCCCCCCGCCCAATTTTAGCTCCCCCAAGCTGCAGTGAAACCAGGAGCCATCACTTACATCTTCACTCGAGAGAGTGATGACCTGTCCAGGGGGACCAGGTGGACCAGGTGGGCCGGGCAGCCCTACACCATCTTGGCCTCGCTCACCCTGGAAGACACAGCCATCAGCCCCAGGGCCACGGCCGGCCAGTCCCCATCCCCAGCCTGGTGGCACCTACCTTCTCGCCGGCGCTGCCTCTGTCACCTTTGGGTCCCTGGAAGGAGGAGCAGGCAGGGGTGAGCTTCCCGCTTGGCACCACTCGCAGCTGGACCCTGGCTCACAAGCGGAGACCCCCTCCTGCCTGCGGCTCAGCAAAACCTTTCAGGCCACTCGCCCCAGCCTGCAAGGTCCAGGCAGCGAGCCAGGGTGGGATGCTTTTGGGTGGAGGTGATGGCGAGCAGGGTGGCAAGCTGATGAGTACGGGGTCCCAAGCAGTGTGGGCGCCCCTGGCACGCAGTGAGCCTGGTCCCAGAGCAGGGGAACAGCCGAAGGCACAGGGGGGGTGGATTTTGGCTGCTGGGGGCAGAGTTTGGTTGCTGGGGGTGGATTTTGGCTGCTGGGGATTGAGCTGCTGCAAGTGGTCCTGCAGCGTGCAAGGGTGCCCTGACTGGAGCGAGGAGGGGCTTCTGGAAAGTGGGGGGCTGATGCTCCTACCTGCGGTCCGGGGAAGCCCTCCAGTCCAGGGCGACCATCCACACCAGGCACACCAGCATCTCCCTGCAACGAGGCATGGGAAAGGGCGAGATGCAGTACAGAGCATCCTCCCAAGAACCCCAGGTTGGGGAGCACAGGGGGCCTCCCCAAGCACCCCACCAACCCCAGAAGCTCACAGACAGCCCGTCCCAACCTCCTGGCACTCCTACCTTTGGTCCCGGCAAGCCGGGCTGCCCAGGGCTGCCGACCTCCCCCTGCAAGGAAAGAAGTATGAGAGCAGGAGCATCCTCGCGGGCTGCCCGTGGGCATCCTGCATGGATGGCGCCAGGCTCCCACGGGCGGGTCTGGGAAAGGGGGGGGGAGGTGATTGA